GAGAGAGAGACGAGAGAGAGAGAGAGAGAGAGATTTAATTTCGCGTTCTGTCGAGAAATTCGATGCGAAATACTCAGCTCTGACTCATCCCGACTTCGGTCTGCGAATTCGCGCGGGCTATAAATCCACACGCCATCGATTTTTCTTATAAATTAGCGAGAGTAATATCTAACGGCGGTTGAAATTCCGCATGAAACGGCATTCCGTGCCGACCTTGACGATGAATCCGTTCGTCGAGTTTTTTTTTGCCGATACTCGGATGTCGCGAAAATATGCTCCATCTCTTCTAATGAATGATATACTCACTTATCGTCTTGTTGATCCAGTCGGCCAAGTCCTCCTGAAGTGGAATCAGCTGACGGCTCTGCGCCGAATGCAGCCGCTCGTGGTAGAATTCAAACTCTTCTTCTTCCGGCGAGGGTCGCGGCACGTCGGCGCGATTGAAGACGGAAACCGAGGATGGTCCCCAGCTACTCCGATAACGGGTATGCTGGGAGGACGGGAATCGGTTGGCGTACGACATTTTGAGGCTGCTCCTGCGGACGGCGTTTCCGGCGCTGCACGCCGGATTTTCTCTCGGCGCTTCTCTCCTCACTCTCCTTGGGTCCTCCTCCAGGACCCACTTCACTTTCTTCGACAGTTCCCAGGCTATTCAAGAGCGATGTCGTGCAGAGACGTACGCCTCGCGATCAAGTGCCGTCTGAAAAGCAGAGGGAGATTACCGTTATCGCGAGAGACGGAGTCGCTTTCGAAAATTGGATGCGCACCGAGAAAGCCAAACGAAAGCGAGAACGCGAGATAAGACGGCAATGCGAATCTCTTCTTAGAAAATAGGAGAAGAATAAGACACTCGAGATATGGATAAACATGAGTGCGCACTTATGCGCGCGGAGAATCCTTTACGATTTCTCTGAGAAGCCATAACTAAACGACGAACTTTCTTTCCCGTTGAATAAGGGCTCTCCCTTAAGTGTCTTATTCGTTGTTATCTTTAAGGCAATAAATTCAAGGCTCAAGATGAGAATACCTTGAAAAATAACGCTTTACATGTGACTGAAGTTCAAAAAACAGTATTGAAAGACACTAGGATTTAGTTAAAAATTCTTGTAGTTAAAAATCAGTTTTTTCAAGAAGATACAAGAAATGTATCTATGTATACGAACAATTACTTATTGGTAATATACATAATATATATTTATGTACATGCTTGCTATTATTATCGCGTGCTTCGATTCTATGAGGGAGCTATAATGGAATTCAAGAAGTCAAGTAATTAAGGAACAAAGAAGTTTCAAGAGCGTGTACCGAGCACGAACCGTCTATTAGCTCACAAAAGCGATCAAGTGACTATCGCATCTTGAATTCTATAAAATATTAATATACAGTATCTTTTAAACGGGGTTAGCATTTTCTGCTTCCAAAGAAGCACCACCATCAGGACGAGAAACGATCAACACTCACGCACCAATAATTAATTAGGTGCTTCTACATCTTCTCGCAGCAAAAAGAAACATTTCTTTCGCTACGATACGGTAATGCCTCCAATTACGCGTTCGCACTGTTTGGCTGTGCAGCACTTCACGATGAAATTAATATTATATAAGTGACGTATGTTAAAATCAACATCCACGTTCAACTTTTCCGAAGGGCGAAAAACAGAGAGAACTAAATAATTATTAATCTATCAATGTCGGAATGCAATGACGTAAGAAGAATTACACATCGGCGGCATCTTTGGAACTGAGAAAACAAATCACCGCCCAACGTGATGTTCACGGACAAAACCTACGATCGTCCTTCGATGTCGATATATCGATATCTTCGCGCGCAGCTGTCTCCACTTACCGTAACGTAATACATTACCGCGTCGACACGTACGCGCGTTTCTCAAATTCGTGAGTATTCAGAACAACTCATTCGAGGAGAGATGACTTTCTTATCGAAACCTCTAGCGAGACGAATGACGGCGAGCGACAAGCTCGCGAAACCGGTGAAACTCGTCGTTCGATCGGCGGATGAAATTGTCGCTGCGCCTGATGCTCGCGGTTAGCATATTGTACACGTGGGCGCGAAATATCTTCTCACATACATCACGGTAGACGTCCGTATAAATCACACGATCTCACTGCGATCAATCCTTCGTTTCCGCGATTAACAGCGTTTTCATTATAATCATGTCAGATAAGACGAATGTCAACGTCAACTTCAAGATCGCCGTTTTAATTGATTTCCAACCTAGTTGTCTATCCATATAAAACAGGAATAATTATATTTTCCGAGATCGCTACGGTGATTGATTGTTATGTATATTTATTACATATATCGATCTTCACTCGTTTTTTCGAAAAATAATAATTTTTTATATTCTACATAACAGCGAAAGTATATAATCGAGGAGAAAAGCGAAGCTTTCGATGAATTCTATTGACGTCGATCGACATGAATGAAAATGTTGTAAATCACGCAGAAAGCGCACGTGATATTTCTCAAGTAATCTAGTAGTAATCGCGTATAATTATGTCCGCTTTCGAAAAAAGAATCCGAATGAATCTTTACGAATCCGCTTAGCATGATCTCGGCCTAAAGTCTTCATTAGCGCCTCTCGAAGGCCTCGATTCCGTTGTAACAATCGGTTTGATGTAATCGCGCAGAAATAAAAATTAAAGACTAGAAAACATTGTTTAAGATTCCTCTGTACAAACGTACATTGTGAAGTTGCTCGGAGAAGAAAGATCGCGTGTAGCGGTATGCGTTACGAGACGCTGAGCATTTCGAATTCCTTCAGTCGAACGCTGTTTGTAAGCGCCAAACGCAATGTACACATAGTTATCCTTGACTAAAGATTCGGATATCCATATAAGGAATAAGCCCGTTGCCAGATTTGGACGAGTTTCTCTTCCTGGAGCGTGCCTTGTGGCGTGCGATATACACTAATTGCAAGTTGCAAGGCTTTTTATCGAACGATATAAACGTTTCCATCTCGGACCCCATCGAACACTCTCAAAGACGTCATTCATGAAGACCATATTGTGTAACTGCTGACTAAACAGCTCTACGAATGACTTATGAATCGGCTTCTAAAAAATCGACGAGATGTTAATACACGACTTGTCAATATGAAATCCGAAAAAAAATATATTCTACTTCCTTATTTTTTATAATAAATATGGACAAGTAGATAAATATGGGCAAGTCATGAATTGAACGTTAAAAATAATCGATTGGCTTGTAAGATCGCTCGAAGAATAAAAATAAAGATTGATCGCAAGAATCATTAGTCAAACTTTTATTTTTCGCCGGATAACGTAACGTCCGCCTACAGGATGACATAACTTCATCACTTATATATTTTCAATCTCCGCATTAATTTGTGTTGACACGATTGTGCTGCTCTATCAACATCCAGCAGCTAGATATAATTACATTGCAGGCATAACGCTATTTCACGCCTACATTCAAAAATCATCATGCCAATCTCCGTGAGCAGCCATTTACTGCTTCTCGTTTAAACAAAATTGAGCACGAATAATAATGTTTCGCAAAGTTTACTCCGATAAGGAACGTACTGTTCATTTAAAATACGATACGATCGACGAAATGATTTTAATTGACGTACATTACGAATAATTTTGCGAAGCGTAATAATTCATTAACATATTCCCGTATTGTAGTATTTCAAAATTTCGCTGGTTATATACATGCCAGATCTTTTATCTAAGCTCTCTACATAAGTTACATAAAAAGCATTAGCTAATCAACTTCAATAATTATTTTTATATTCTTGAAGAATCACTAGACATTAGTTGTTCAATCGTTACGCAATGAATAAAAAAAAAAAGAGAATAAAAAAGAGATTTGAAGAATCGCCCTAGATTAAGTTGCAACGGAAAGAGGTTGATCGAATGATAAACCCGACACGGTTCATTACCCATCGGGAAAAAAAATCCAAGTGCATTATGCACCAAAGTCCGTGTCCGAAGTCAACGACCGTCCAACAATCAAGCCTAATCGCAGGATGAGCGGCGAATTGGATCGCCATTAGAGATCTCAACGCGCGGATATAAACCGCGTGTGCATAAACCGCGCGGGATTAAACCACGGCAGCGAAAACCGGGCGTCCATCATCGCGCGTCCGTCTGGCTCGTAGTCGCGAGCGCGTGGGCGTGCTGCTCATTATGAGGAGACACGTGTAACACACTGACGTCGCGTGACAATTGCACGATGGCGGTCCTCGAGATCTTGCGAACAATCTGGCAGACCGCACGTACGATGGGTCCGGTGGCGAGCGGTTATCCATTGCGGTAACGCTTGCTACGCGTTGCGAACATTAATCGTACATCTGTACACCGGCGTTCGTCCGCGTTAGATGATAGATCTTCATTAAATCTCGCCAAATGTCTCGTCCGCAAATGTTAGATTAGCGATTTGTCTCGTCTCCAAGTGTCCGTTAGATAGAGAAGTCATTTGTGATCTACGGTTTCCTTAATTGATATCAAGAATTTTTTATTGTATTGAGAAATGACTTTTTCTTTATGCATACATTATTATATTTAATCACGTTATAGGTAGATCGTGAGGAAGTGATTTTGACAGACAGCTGCGAAATTTACACGGAAAGAGAAAGATTTGCTGGGTCAACTCTCCGACGTGTTTCTCTAGTCGTTTTACTTTTTACGTACGTGGCTCAACGCTGCGTGTAGGTGGTCGTTCCGCGAGAACGTACCGCCATAAAATGTTCCTTAAAAGGAGCCGATAAAGTCGCGGTCACCCGCATCACAAAGAGAAAAAGCGGTATCATCGTGTCGGTCAAGTTGCAAAAGTTCAGCACAACTACATACGTAGCGCTGTACGTGTTTTATGCGAAAATTATGTCGCGCCGTTTACGTATATTCCTTCCTCTCTGACTAAAGAAGTTAAAATAGGTGTGAGCAAATAGCGTATCAAATATTACATGCCATAAACAAGTTTTTGGTATGATATATTCGTTACGGTGTTATATAGCAAAGAATGTACGATCCTTGTCGAAATATATAATCTTTCAGTATAATTTACGGTTTTTCGTTACATTATACATCGATTTTATATTATTGTTATACTGATACAAAAAACTTATCTCATATTTGTCAAATAAAACTGAAAGCAAAATTTCGGTAATGTTAAAGCAAAATTATCGCCACATATTTCAATATGCCTTTTTTTCAAAATATTTCAATTTTTTAAGTACAATTATTTAGCACAAAGCTTGATGGAAAAATGACAGACTTTGTTCACCGGTTTAATAAAATCAACATTAAAAATTTCACTTACACTGTCAATGATTTTTGTCAATTATTTTCATTGACATGAACGTTGAACCTAATGTGTTCAATGTGTCTTACAGGATGCTCGAAAAGCATCAAGATTACTCATTGGCTCCCCTAATTGTTGTTTTTCTTGTCAGATAGAAAGTGTAGCTTTATACGGAACTGCTTGGATTGGCTCTAATTAGGAATTCTTCGTTGCGAAGGTAGACATTTCTGAAATTATCGTAACAAACATTATTGAATGCGGAAAACGACCGAGCAATATTTTTATCACTTTTTCTTTGTACTTTCGAATAACGATTATTTACACTTTTAAGAATACTTGTAGCTACATAGAACTTATTTTATCAGACTGAAGACTAACTGTCCTTAGTTATGACATTAGTCATTAACACTTATCTTATCACGAATTTTAAAAAACTGACTTTTCAGAAAAATGTCTAAGTAGATGTCTAAAGTAGATAAGCTTCTTAGCTTCTGCCTATAGCAAATATTTGGCTTCGTTAGTTGGATTAGAAATATTTTATCGATTGCATCAAGCGATAGTTGTTTCTGATAGAACAATTATTCGAAAATCATTATCGTGCTCGAGGAAACTTTTCGTTTCGACAGCAATCGGGGAAGAGATGAAAAGAATGTGTAAAAATACAGTCGGCAGTACGAGCTAATTAAAGCGCAGAAACAGAGCGTGCCCGCCCAATTACCGTTCTCAAAGAGCACACATCTATACCCACTGGTTTGTCCAACGCACTAAAAACAACTGTCGCGAGTTGAGTTTCATCCGTCTGTCCTACAAAGTCAATTAGAGAATGCCTGGACATGGCAGATTTCCCTGTGCGGGGGACGATGTGCGGGGGAAAGTTAAGATGGGGAGTAAGCCCGGCGTGCTCGAGACGGGAAAGACAAGGGAGCTGATCGATAAGAGAGTAGAATTCATATGCGTACAACCGTAACGCTAACTTTCACGGCCTTTAATCATAATTGCGCCCGTATATATCCTCACGTACGTGGCACTTAACGGATGATGAATGTGTCATCGTGCCGTTGCAGAGAGCGAATTTTATGTTTTCTGAAGAAAGATTAATGAAACGTCTACATCTTCTCTTGCATGCACTTCTCATGCGCGTCTGACGCGGCGAAACGAATGTTCGTACGTATTAAATAGATTTGTCGATTTTCAATTAAGACATATCGCCAAGAGCTCAAATGCATACATCCCGCCTGTAATGAAAATATATATATTCAACGATCAAAATGTCTACGCGAGCATCCGATACGTTTTTTCACGAAAAACGCCGGGTAAACTGGAGAGATCGATATTTACCTCGCGACTTACTTATTTATATTTGATATGTGCAGGCCGGGCAAATTAAATGTCATCGAGCGAGGCGGCGACAGGCTTTTTACGCTCCGATTATTGCGCTAACAAAGCGCGGCTGTTTTGCGCTCTTGCGAATCGCCGCGGGTGCGAACGGGAAGTTAACTCTCGGGAGAAGGCGGGTATTTTTAGAGGCGGAGGTGCTCGGTGATCCCTCTCGGCGCGTTCCGAGAGCGGCAGTCCACGTAGATTAAAAGAAACGATTCCCGAGGCGCGGTAATGCGCCGTTAGCGGTAATAAGATTGAGGTAATAAGTGATCGTTTTGGAGCGTGACCATCGCACGTAGGAGTGTTTGTACATACGTACGTCGCAATGCATGACGTTCCACAGAAGGAAAACGAAGCGAGACACAGGAGGAGAGGAGGCAGGCGAGCCGGGCAGGCAGGGCGGGCAGCGAGATGCACCGGGCGTTTTCGCGCCGGTCCGCGCGGCGGGAAACGAAATTTCGACGTCGGCGCGAAAGTCCGCGAAATTAACATAAACCGCCGTCGCGAGAAGCGAGACGAGATGCTGTGCACTTCCGATGAGAGAAAGGCACGGAGAGGAATGCCGAGAGGTGCTCTTGCTTTACGCACGTCGCGTCACGCGCGCGAAACGAGATAGCGCGACGAAAATCTTTCCGCGACTTATCGCCACGTCGCCCGTTCCTCGTTGTGATTACTCGATGGATATCCGATTGACGATAACGCTCTGCATTCATTAATCTCGACGTGACTCCGATGACTAACAGACTCCATAAATTCGCCCTCGCCTCCGTCGAATGAAGAGCCTATATTCAATCGAAGGAAAGATATGAAGAACACTTATATACTATTGGCGTATCGTAAGCGTCCCTAATGCCGAAGTCGTAAAAGCTAATTCGAAGCACCGCACAGTTAAAATAATTCGCTCAGCGAGCACATTTCTAACACACGTGCACGCATGGAAATTCTGTTGCGGGAAAAATAGATTATACGTTTTATTGTAAGAGTGAAACGCGTCTCTTTTTTTTTTTTTTTAAATTAGGTCACAACAAACCACAGCGATACGATGCGCAAAGTTAGTAAAACTGCCGATGCGCATAATTGTCCACGTAGTACACGTACACAGACACATGTCTTCCGGAAGGCGATTTAAAATTATACACGCGAATGAATCGTACCGCGCGTCTGGCACGACATTCGCGCCTTCGGCATCACCGCCGTCATGTTGATATCATCGAGCTTCGCACTTCGTAATATTATTACCAGCTGCTACGAGAGATAATGACCGTGCTTAATGCGTTTTAACGGATTCGCGGGAACGAGCGACTCGCAAATAGAGAAAACGCGGCCCGAACGAGTTCCCTCCTCGCTCATAAAAAGCATTTTCCATGTGCTTGAGCTTCAGATGCGCAAGCAACAATGCTCCGTGTAATAAACAGCAGTCACATATGTTTTTAATTCTAAGATTAATCATCTAAATTTTTTATCAGCGAGCTTTCTAATTTATTCTTAAATTTATTGTCCAACTCAATGGCGTTAATCGCCAAACGTTTGTTATTAGTCAAGCGTTAATCGTTAGATATCCGATTTCTCAGGAGCGTCGTAAATTTAAGAGCAAGCTTAATGTGGCGAGAGGTCGACGAAGAAGAGTCGCAACGTGCGTACATATGAGGTACAATAGCAGATATACTCTCGGTTATAATGCTCGGATAATGAGCTTCGTAGAGGCAGGCCGTTGCCCGACGCCTTAGAAATTCTTTAATGACTTCATGTCGCAGTGCGCACACACCGAGATATGTCATTTAAGCTTCGTTCTGCGAGAGAGCCCGCCAGTCATTCGTCAAAGTGTCGTGAGAAAGAGAGAGAACCGTACAGAGAAGACGATCGGTAGAAAGAGATCATTCGCTGTGAAACTTCCATCGTAATATCACGGTGGATCAATTAATGAAGATTTTAAGAGGTATAAAATACCTACAAATTACGCACTCTTCCTGAATTATGATAATTATTTCCGAAAGAATGAGAGTTGTTTTAATAACGAGGCATCCAGAGCTGTAGTGAATTATTTATCGTTAAAAGTCTACAAGGATTTAATAAATTAAGCCTGAAGATTAAGATATGGAAAGAAGAGATAGAAAAGCTTGGTTTCCAATTATAATTTTAAATCACTTTTAACAGAAATTTAATCCTAACTTGAAATGTAAGTACCTCACCGAGGTATTTAATATTGAAAACCAAGAAATTGGGGTAAACTATTACGATCTTTTTGATTCTGATTGACGGAAGGAGAAAAGAAACTTATAATCTATGATCCAATCTATGGTCCAATCTATGGTATTCTAAAATCTATGGTTTTTTTCAACTACATCTCTCGAATAGCATCTTAATACACATGTCATAGAACATTATTTCCACTTCTATTCTTGGAATGATAAACTGACTGCCGTGAATAATGATCGTCATATTCGAAGTAATTAGCTCTCTGAAGGCGAATAAATAAGCGTGTAACAATACACACATCCGTTAAAAGTTAATGAAGCATATCGACCCTCGCTTTCTCAAACACTTGATAAAGTCGTGAGCAAACAGTTTGCAGCTCTCGCTTGAGTGACTTTTCAAAATAAAAAAACATATGACGAAAGATATTTACAAAATATATATTGCACTCTCCCTCTCTTTATGTCTTATAACACTTATTATACAAATCAAAGAACACATCAAATATATTTTTTTCTTGACGCATATCACATTGCAATTTATATCTGTCATTTTTATAGTTTATTTAAATCTATATATTAGTAACAAAATCAACTTTTGCTATTATTAATTATTCTCGCATAATGAATTAATTTGTCCACAAATTTGATTAATGCATATATTGATCAATGCATATATAAATAGAATATCTAAAAGCAACAAATTTAGATTAATTAATCCGCATATTCAATTGATAATAAGTATTCTGTTTACATAACAACAGAAATATTGTCGGCAATCATTTCAGAATTAACCTTAGGATGTCTCTCGATGATACAGAGTAATACACGAAGTCCACGTGCAATAATACACAAAATATATAAGCACTCAATATCCAACGACACGAAGATTTTCAGATTATCTTTCCTGATATTCACTGACATTTTTATATCAATAATCAATAATTTATGATAACGAATATTTGATCAAATTATCGAATTTCTAAATTTAAATATTACAGTTTCAAAATCAGAGTTCTATAATATATTTTAAGAATAATAATATCACTGAATATTGTTAAAAAAATACGCGTTCTTTTACACATTTCTGTACACGATGAGTTATTCAATTAATTGCTTCTCTAAACGTTATATTATTGATGACAACTCTCTTTTATCACGATTAAATATAAATTCCGCGCGCACTTGTCAAATGTCAATAAAAAGGTCTTCGTCGCAAATAACATTACCAGGTTTCGCGATCGCAAGATTAGCTGGCTACTTACCTGAAAAACGTTCGTGAGGGACATCGCTCGTCGTGATCGCTCGTCGTGCAAAATTTCTCAAATTTCCGCGAGTTTACCCGAAACTCCAATTTTTTGTGTCTCCTTGTTTTTCCTTCACTCCTCATTTAATAATCGAGCACCTTGCGCTACGACCAGCGACGATCCGTGCACGTCGATCATCCGATCACGACTGCAGCCCTTCGATGCCGGCGCTCCAGAAGAGCGAGCCCGCGAAGAAAAGAGGGAGATATCATCGGCAGATCTGTGCCCCCCCTCCACGTCGCGCTCACGAACCGACAGACCGCTATTGTACGCACTGCGCTCGCACGAAAACGCACAGGATAGCAACGAGCCGGGACATCACTCGGGATGTCTATTCTTTACAGAAAGATCGGCCCCCGGAGCCCGTATTTGTAATACTGTGTCCGCACATGTTGCGAAATATGTCGATATATAAGTTCTCTTATATTGCCTCGTCATCCTAATTTCGTCACTTGCGATTATTGAATTGTATATTTGCTTTACAAACAGAGATCTGACAGAAAATCTGATTCGGGTTAAAGGAACCTAAAAAAAAATTAGATTTACACTTTCGGTGTCGCTCCATGCTTTTGAAATGATTAGGAAAATCTAGTTCTGCGAGGAGCGAGATGCGGGAAGTATTAAATCATGATTAGGCTGGAGATGCAATAATCTTCGCTATCTTAAGACGCGTTCAATGTTATAACGATGTCATATATCTTTTTTAAGCCTCCATAATATTAATAAATAATGGCTATAATAATTAAACTTATTAGCGTAGCTTTGCTACGGAATGGAGAATAAAAGCAACGCACAATGACAAAATTAACATAACGCAGAATCAATTTTCGATTTGTCGCAGCGCTCTCGCGAAATCGTCTTTCGACATCGAGCTGCGCCAAGAAAGATGTAAAGCGTTCCAATTACTCACGCTACAACGGATCCTCTTCAGAGGGTGAGCCCTTGGCCCTTGGATAACGACGCGTCGAGCGTGTCAATCGTCATCACCGTGCGATCCGAGCCTACCAATTCACCCTCGGCCGTGTGTCTCACCTTCCTCCCGTGCCCTCGCACTTTCGCCGACAGACAACCACGTGCCGTCGCCGTTCCGGCGAACGTGGATACCTGGTTCGAGCGAAGCGCATCGGAGCACTGCGTGTCGCAGCGCAGAGCGCAGACGCACCCGGTGCGTGCGTTCCCCACCGTGCCCCATTCATCCCCGTGCATTCACGGCGAGGAACGACGCCCCGGCGACCGAGCCGCGAGGGGCGAGAGAGAGAGAGAGAGATTCCTCCCGGCATGAACAACCCCCTTAATCAATACTCGGCGTCCTCCGCGCCGACTACAAATACTCTCTCGCGATCCTCCCTGGACCGCGCACGAGAGTTTCGGCACGTCGCATAAAATGGGGATACGTATTCGCGTAACACGGGAGAAAAAAGAATCGGCGCGAGGGGCGACGATGTGTGTTTTTGTATGCGCCGAGTCGAGAGGATCGAAATAAATGGATGGCCTGGATGCCTTTTGGTCCTTTATGTAACGGTTAAACCGTCTCGCGCGAGAAAGCGTCGACGGCTCTATTTTCAAATGGGTCGATTCAATGGAATTATTCAGGGGAAGCCAACTATGTAAAATGTCGTTTCTCTTCTTTGCCTTAAATAAATATAAAAAAGTAAAAGTATTGTAATATTACACTGAACGAGAAAAATTTGTATGTATTATGTATAAAAAGCAATCTAGAAAAATACTCTAGAAGGAAAATATATTCTATTAAAAAACGATTCTCTTTTCCAATTAAAAAGAAATTGGTGAAAGGGATTCCGTTCCGAAGCGGCCCGACCCTTTTCTATTACGAGGGTAGGCCGCCGGCGAAAGAAAAATGTTCACGCAGAAAGCGTCGATTTCCCGAGCGACGAGTAACGGCGGCCTCGATTAAATGTCCGTACATTACGTGTCAAGTAGAATCAACGGCTGTATCGACTCCCCGAGGAGTACGAGTGGCCGCGTTACGTCGTCGAGAACGTTAATTAATGAGAAGAGGCTCTGCATCGCGCGTGCTACGAAACAATGAAATAAAAAGAGACTTAATTGCGAGATTATGTATGCAGGGAAAATATTCGAGGTAGCTTTTTTTTTCAAAAAGGCATTCCTTTTTTTCTCACTCGCGAAAGGAGGCTGCATCTCTGTGTGTTACACGAAGGAGAACTGCTGATGCATTCGGATCGATAGAAACTGAATACCCACGCGAATCTCGTACGCAAATAGGATGATTTGACCGCGAAACTTTTTCTCACGATCGATCGGAACATTATTTTAAATCGATAGTCATCGGTCGCTGATTGCACGCCAGCTCGATTACTGACAATCCGTTTATTGGTTTCCTTTTCCTGCCAATATCAGACACAGTTATAAGACATGCTCGCAATGCCGCGCCCACGTATTCATTTATGAATTACGTAGGAACATCAACTATCTAAAATGTCATGCGAGAGAAAGATCTGATATTAAGTACTCTTAATACATATGTCAATAATAATGAATTCTTATAATAGATATATTCTCTGTATGAATATTGTATAAGCCTTTTGAATATGATCAAAAGATAATGTATCCACACAATCAATTATTAATCAGAATTGCCAATTATAAAAGATATAAAAAAAAAGAAATCTTAAAAAGTTAATTTAAGAAGATTATTAGTTTGTCTAAAAAAAGATACTTTGAATTTGTAAATTAATATTAAAAATTTTAAATCGAATTAAATATTGATAATTTATTGTGAAAGAATCAATATATTTATAAAATGTAAATGTTAATGTAACACTTACATTTACATTTTTCTATCTCGGACATAGGTTAAATGAAGAGAGAAACTTCGTGTAAGATTTCCTTTCGTTTCCTCGCAAAAGCAGTTTATCCGCCGTTATCTAAGATTGAATATTTACCTGATCACACGATAGTAATCTTTTCCTCCCACAAATCAGCAGGATAATC